TTTGTAGTTCCCCCTGGAAATCAAAAAAAAGTCGCTTTTGAAAGTGTGAGAGACAACGCAAAAAAAAAAAAAAAAAAAAAATCAGATTTGACAAAATATCGGGTCACTAAAGGTTGCAGTGTGAATGTAACCTATGAGCCTCTTCATACAAGAGAAAACTCTGTTTTTTAAGAAAATGGTTGCTTGTCAGTTAATCGTTAGTCTAATGATAAGATTAATCAACTTTAGATTAAGTCATTAATCGATAACTTGCATCTGTAAACATTTTTCATGTTTTGTAAAAGTGCTGCCTGAATTTGTTGTCTTGTAATTAAGTTATTTGTATTCATTTATGTTCATTTAGTCTGTCAAACACCAGAATTTGGACATAATTTTAAATTTTAATCCTTTACCTTTCCTTGAGTAAAAATAAGTTGAAGAAATTTAAGTTTTACTCGAGTAAAATCTTTGGGTACTTTACCACCTCTGAATAAAACACGTCACCTAAAAGTTGACCCCACTATCCATTAGATAAACATCCGCGGCTGTTCGTTGCCCCTGCAGTCCTATCAAACGTATGCTAATCTTTACAGCTTACCTTTTCTCCACTTGTGCATGAGTAACTTCATTCAATCAGCATACCTTATCCTCCATTCCAACATGTTTCAGGGCTGTCCGGCCTCTGTGGGACAAAGCCAGGTTGATGCTTCTGCCTTTCACTACTTTGGCTTTCCGAATATCTGACCAAAAACACACAGAATAATTTGACTCCAGCTTTGTTCATCAGTTTTTTTATTTTGTTTGATTTGTAGATAAAAGCTACCTTCTCTTGTTTCAAAGACTTCCACCTCAAAGCCTCTTTTGGCGAAGAAGCAGGCGTTGAGTGCCCCCACCTTAAAGATGAAAAGTGGTGCATTGATAATGTCAGCTTAGTTCAAAATGCCTTTTCTATGCTTCCTGTTTATAGTTTCACTTTTCCTACATGACATGATGACAGAATAATGCTTTGTAAAACCAAGCTGTCGCCATGTTTGCACCCAGAAAGTGTAAAATAAATATTATATACACACACTGAACTGGAATTTTCACTTTCATTTTCCCTTCTTACCAAACCAGCGCCCACCACTGCCACCACTTTCTTGTCTTCTCGTCTGTGCGCTGATTCCTCCATGTCGCTCAGCAGAGTTCCCCGATGGTCTGACCCAGGTTCTCTGTCCGGTTCAAAGAGCTTTGCAGAACTGCTGAGTTTTGATTTAAAAGAGGAGGGGCGTTGCATATCCCACTACAGTCTGATGAACGTCCCTGTAACTATCAGTTCCTCTTTCAATGCAAACAGAAACAGAAGATAACAGGGCGCTCACTGCAGTCAGGCGATATATTTTAAGAGTAAAAGTCTCAACTTCTTAGCAAATAGGATTTAAATTACTTCTCAGAGTGCTGGATGCTACTCTTAAGATTTTAGGAAATGTCTCTCTTACATTGGAACAAATGAGGGTCATCCAAAGTTCATTATTGCTGCAACACCTGTGTTACAATAAAAATATAACCGTGAAGGTTTTTGGGTTTCACGTCATGCCTCAAATGAAGGTGAAATGATGAAAAACGGTTGAACAAATATAGGATTCTGACTCCATCTAGTGGAGAAGATTGGATACTGCAGCCGCCAACAGTTTCTCAGCACATCTGAAAAACATTCAGTAACTTTGACCTAAAATAACAAAATCAGTCAACATTAAAGAATGATTCACTTGTTTTTAATTCAACAGAAGGAAACCGTTTCTACAGTCACAAGAAATTGAGAATACAGAAGCATTAGCGCATTGTGGAAATATTCTTTCATTCAGTCTTAAAAAAAATTTATTTCCTTCAGATGTAACCAGATTAGAAAAAGGAGACCAGGTGGAAATTATTTAATTGCAAAATAAATCCGGCAGTTCAAAATTATAGGAACTAAACAGCATCACAAAGACTTTTCCTTTCACTCGACTTTAAATCAAAATGCTAGGATGGATAACTCTCTAAAGAGCCTTATTTATTTATTTATTTATTTATTTATTTATTTATTTATATCCTTGTAGCGGTTTCACAAGTTATCTGTCAGGCTGCTGTCATATAAAATATGTATTAAAATTATTTTTTATTGGTTTTATGTTATTATTAAATGTTCTGATAGACTAAAACTTGTTTTATTATTAATAATTGTTCCACAATCATAGTCAAATTAACTGAAATAAATGTTTAAAACTCTGTGTAACAATTAAATATATCAGATCCACGTTTTAAAAATGTAATTAATGGAATAAAACAGCATTTCTATGATATTCTGACTTTCCTCCAAAAATAAGCTCTATAGAAAGAAACATAATCAACACAAGACATGTTATTAATGAACATTTACAGGAATGAACAGAAGCAAAGAGGGCTTATTCACGTAAATACATTAAATGAGGTGTTTAAGTATAGTGTTTTTGTTTAGAGAATAAATTAACATCACTAAACTTACATCTGTGTTTCTGTATTTTCAATAGAGTATTATTAGCCTAACAATATAGTTCTGTTTAATGCTTTTGGCTCCAAAGAGTAGATTCTAAATTATTTAGACGTACCCAGCGTTGGATGCACCAATAAAAGTCTAGCATGACGTTGCTTGCGACTCGATGTAAAAAGGAAATATCCATACAGACTGTTTAATCAATTTCCGAATCAATGACACAACACAACATTTAGATAAACTGCAGATTGCTTGCTTCTTGACAAATGTTTTAACTTAGCTGTTTATGGCTGTTTGATCTCTGCTGTTGTGTCCGAGTGGACGATTGAAATAATTTCCCGTTAACCGGCGAGTTACGACACGAAATATCCGCTAGTCCTGCGCTCGACTAGTTGAGTCTGTTTAAAGATGGCGCTGTAAAGCCCATGATTTGTTTTCTATGGGTGCAAAGTATGTTTAAGTGCATTAACCGAACGGCCCAGTTCACCAGATATCTCAAGTCAACAGGAAACAGCGTCTGTGTTAACCAAGGATTTAGGTAAGGCTCGCCGGTTCATTTTTAGGTTTTAAATAAAAAAATAAAAAGTAACACCGGCTTAAGCACGACAAGACGGTGAAGCTAACGGAGCAACGTTAGCTGGCTGAGTCGCTCAATTTGGTTAGGAGATTCAGCTAACGGCTGTTAGCCTCGTTGCTATATTAAGATGCAGCTTTAACAATTATGTAACATGATTAAATTCGAAACTTTTTCTAATTTATTCATCAATCCCTCCAAACCCAGCGGCTTAAGTCGGTGGTATCTTGGCGCGTGGTAACTTTTCTGGCATGTATTAAATAGAACAAGCTAATGCTAGCCTCTTCCTTTTGTGAGTCAGAGGGATTAAACATGTTCTCCCGATGTTTCATATCAGATTAAAAAACATAACAAAACTCTGCTTTTAGCTATTTTAGTCTGCTCTATTTGTTTGTTTTTAACCACACTAATATAATTTTTACATGAGGTCGTTAAATGTTGATATTTATAGCCGTTCAAGCGGATGACAAGTATGGTAAGCGGTTAGTATTTAAAAAAAAAAAAAATCCGTACGTTAAAGTCTTATTTTAATCCTTAAATCAGGGTTTCCCAACGCACATTGCTCTGTATGTTTTAGGCGTTCCCCAGTTTCAGCACACCTGCTTTAAACTGATGACTGATTAACAGGCTTTTACTGAACTGCTGTCATCTGCAGCCGGTGTTTAAACTGTGGATCATTATTGAGTACGTTTTCAGAGCTACATAATTTAATTAACTGTAAACTTGTAAAATAAGCAATTCATCCCAAGATAAATTAAAATGAGCTCGGTAAATTCAATTTTGGTTATTTTTTGGTAGATCAATTTTGTTTACAGAAATGTCATAATCCACTTTAGTTATAGTTTTTGTTGTATTGGAGCTTTTTTCTGGATTTATTTGTTGTGTTTTTTATGTGTTTTATTTTACTTAGTGTTTAGTGTTCTTTATACATTTAAAGTTTATTAACCTTTGAGAGGGAGCAAACTTGCACTATTATGCCAATGTCAGTATATTATTTGGAAATGGTCTAAAAATTACAATATTATCAATATTATAAACTTGATCTCTTATGGTCATAAATATTAATGAATAAGCAAATTCCAATAAAGTATATTCTATTCTATTATAAATACTTGCCAAACAAGTGATGTAACTTTTCCTCTGTTAACCAGTTTTGTTTCTAGTTGTTTTTCATTTTTTTGCAATTGGGGGCAAAACCTGATGTTCCAGTAACTCACCAGGTGGTTGCTAGGCAACCAAAGGATGAGTGAGTTGCTTGGTAACCAAAGTGTGACTGAGTTGATTCCATCAACTGTGCTTAGCTAGGTTGAGCAGCTGCAGCTGTTTCTCAAACTACATCCCCCAGAATGCGAAAAAAAGCTCAAATTTTTCAGGTAGATCGAACGTGGTTTTTATCAGTTTTGCAGTTGATGCTAATGTTTCACTTAAATGAGTAAAACGATTAAGGTGTAGATAATGGGTGTTCTTGTAACTCCACTGCACTATAACAATAGAAAGCTCTTTGGAGTGGATGATGCCGACTTATTGATTCCAACATCCACTTAAATGCGTCCTTCAAGCTGCTGCTCTACTTGGCTCACCCCGTTGGGATTTATTACAACTGAAAACTGAACAGGGAGGATAATAACTTATCATAATCTAATGGCTGGTTAATAGTTTCTGGATTGTACGGTTATTTTTGGGACACTCGCACACTAAAATGGATGCAAACATGCTCTAAATCAGGGCTGTCCAAACTTTTTGCATCAAAGACCAAGATCCCAAAGCTGAAAATACTCGGGGACAGCGGCATATTTATGGAGCTAAATTGGGGCCATAAAATTGTTCAAAAGAAAAAATAATTGAAACCAAAAATTTTGAAGCTGAAAAAAATGTTACAAGCTACTTTTCATATTCTGGTTTTCCTTTCAGAGACAAATTTATGAAGTTGCCAAGTTTATTTTTATGGTACATTTCACCAACAAGACAGTTCAAAGTGCTTTGCATCATAAAAACATAAAAATACTAAGGCATAAAAGACACCATACAGTCAACAATTGTTTCATTTATTATGGTTCATGTTTTCTTTTAGTTTCAACTTCATAAAAAGTAACTGTAAACATGCAGCAACTTTTTATTTAAAACAAGAACACTGGAGCACATTTATTCTATTAATCTTGATCAACAAAGGGTTGTTGTTGTTTTTTTTTTTGAGGAAATTTTGCATTTTTGTTGTTTGGAATAGACTAAAAGATTTTCCAGACCAAATAATCTGAAAAGAAATTACCCAAAAAGTTTGGAAACCTTCTGCCTTTTATTAAGACAAAAGTTTTTGCTTTGTTTTGTTAAAATATTGCATGTATAATTTATTGATGACAAGATTCTTTTGCTTTTGAAGTCGGAAAAACAGTATGTATGGAGCAAAGTTTACTAAAAAGAAAAAAAAAATAAACTGAAAGGAAAAGTTTGAAACTGAAATTCTCGTTCTAAAGAAATAAGTTCCCACTGTGGGGACAAATTTACATTTACATTTTTGTTTCTCTCTTCCCTGCAGGCTGGTGTCATCCTTACCTCTCAGAATGACGGAACCGGCTGTGAGGAGGGTGGTCACCGATATAATTCGGTCTCCTGAAGACAGGCGGGACTACCAGGGCCTGGAGTTCAGAAATGGACTCAAAGCGATGCTCATCAGCGACCCGACGACCGACAAATCATCAGCCGCACTGGACGTGCACATAGGTAAAGGCTTCCCTCTTCCTGCTCCTTCACTGCAAAAATACAAAATCTTACCAAGTATTTTTGGTCTAGTTTCTGGTGCAAATATCTTAGTTCACTTGATATCAGACAAAACTAACTTACTAAAGTAACCTTTCAGCAAAAAACGAGCTTGTTTTAAGTCAGTAATTTATAATATTATGATTCATAACATGGGGAAAATGTCTTGTTATAAGTGGAATAATTTGCCAGTGGAACTAGAACTCGGTTGCTAGGTGACGGGCTTGGCTTAGCCGGTGTTGCTAGGTAACGATTGTGAAATAACTGAAATAATCTGCCAGTGGAACTCCAACTTTTTTATCCATTTTAAGGAATTATTTACTTAAAACAAGCTGCTGTGTTTTAATGAAAAGTTATTTGTAAGTTAGCTTGTCTTACTTAAGGTTTACTAAGATTTTGGCCCTAGAAACTATACCAGAAGTACTTGGTAATAAGTGTTTCTGCAGTGTTCATAATCCAACATCCTGATTAATTTGGTGAATTAATAATTGTTTGTGGTTCTTTCCCAGGTTCCCTGTCAGACCCAGCAAACATTTCAGGCCTGGCCCATTTCTGTGAGCACATGCTGTTTCTGGGTACAGAAAAATACCCCAAGGAGAACGAATACAGCCAGTTCCTCAGCGAGCACGCAGGAAGCTCCAACGCCTTCACCAGCGGCGAGCACACCAACTACTACTTCGACGTTTCCCATGAGCATTTGCAAGGAGCGTTAGACAGGTAGCTGCCATGTTTGCTCTGATCAGCCGGTTAGCATCCATGTTCAGCGGTAAAGGCGCTAATCTCTGTGTAAATGTATTGTTTACCAGGGCTTTTTGTGCTGTATGGAATTTTGCCGCATCATGATGATGATGGTATCTGCCTG